AGGGAGAATTTTTGAGTGCGGTGTTCAAATATGTAAACATATTTGAGTGGTGTAAATCAGAACATATGCTTTTTCAAAGCTAAAAAAAAAATAATCTTGTTGATAATTTGCATGAAGTTGTTATTAATGAAAAAGAAACTTTAGTTCATCAAAAAGGCGTACTGAAATTAAGCGGAAAATCGTCCAAAATGGCAATGTTACCCTTACATGATACTATGAAGAAAATACTAGAAAAAGACAATTATTTGTCAGAGATGTTGGCCGAAATAAAGAAACCAAAAGATAGCCATAATTTTACAAACATTGTTCAAAGTTCATTATGGAAGAAAAAATGTGAATTATATCCTGAAAAAGTGTTAATACCTTACTTTCTGTTTATTGATGATTTAGAATTAAATAATCCATTGGGCTCTCATGCATCCAAAGATTCCATTTGTAATGTTTATTATGCATATAATATAGTCATATATATAGTATATATAGTATATATATATAATATAGTCATATATGAAGGTGAGATTTAGTTGTTAAAATTTATATATATATATACACTTTACCAATCAGGCGTTGTCCATTTAATATATATTTCTTGTTTTAAAGATGTTGCAGCAGATGCCGTTAAACGTCTTAGGTACGAGAATGTAGATGCAAGTGAGTTAAATGAGCTATGGCAACTATCTTCTTCTAGCAGACTGGAAAAAATTGTCAATGATTGTTTAAGTTTATCAGATATTTTTAAGCTTTGGCCAGAGTATAAGAAGCCAACGGGATACAGACTAGTAATATAAAAGGAATACAAATATATAATTCTGTCTTGTAATATTTCTTTTTACAGATTGATTTAGATTTTAAACATTTGTATTCATCTGCTAACGATATTCTTGATATCTTTGAGCCGAAAATGAAAAAATTGTACGACTTCTTTTCTAAGCCAAATACTTTGAAAGATTCCAATTGTAGTGTGCTTCTAAAAAAGCTAACCGACGATGTTGTTGCTAAAGGTTAGTAAAATAAATAATAATAACAGTTATGTTTGAAAATGAATCTTATTTCTTCTATTTTTAGGAGACACGTCCTATATTTTCACAACTCTTTGGTGTCTTCATGAATATTTATTTCCAACTGGGCGCGTGGTACAAAAAGACAACACCGGCAAAAAAATAACACGAAGATTTACTATAAAAGACTCACAAGAGTCGGTATGCTTCGTTGGCCAAAGCGTGCAACAATTGGAACAATTCATCTCTTTTCAAAAAAGTCGAAACCTAAATATTTAGCCATTTATTTTAGCTCTTGGAGAGTCAAATTTTAAAAATTTTGAGAATTTTATTTTATATTTGGACGATCATCGGTTAAAATTTGATCATTTTATTCGCTGTTTTGATGTCTGTTTTAAATCCTACCATATATTTAATCTCAAATATCCGGAAGCATCGAATCACTTTTGGAAATTTATTGAAATTTATTTTTATGAAATATCGTATAAAAATTCTAAAAACTCCCCAAAGGCCAGCATTCTAAAAGCTGAATTAATGCACTAATTTAAGTATTAATTAATGTACAAATTAAATTAATGAACAAATTAATAAACATTTGAAATAATAAACATTTGCTGAAGATTTTTTATGATACAATTTCATTTAATCTATGCAACTTTTTCACGCATGTTCGCTTCGTGAATTTTTTTTGAAAAATATTTTATAATATATTTTTTATGAAATTATTTCAAAGAATTTTGCGAAAGTATTTCAATAATTTTATGAAACTATTTCAATAATTTTATGAAACCATTTCAATAATTTTATGAAACTATTTCAATAATTTTATGAAACTATTTCAATAATTTTATGAAACTATTTCACACCTATGCACATCGTGAAACTTTATGAAAAAGTTTTCTCAAATTTTATGAAACTCGTCATTGGAGAGTTTTTTATGAAATAATTCATCGAATTTATGACGCGTTTCTCACTCATCGTGTTCTTTTTTTTCTGAGTGTAGTTGCTTAAAAATATTGTTTGAATTCACCTGAAGTTGGTTTAAGTGCCAAATTCAGATTTTGCAATAGGAACTGGTTCAAGTGCCAGATTCCTAAACATAAGCAACACTGAATCGATTCAAGTGTCGATTCAGTTTCAATAAGAAACGACTTATTGAACAACTATAGTGCCAGCCAAAGGAAACCGTCACATACGAATACTTAATACAAACGAACATGATGTCACTCTCAATAAATTGAATATTGAAAGTCATCCTTTAAGCCATTATAACTACAGCAACAATAGACCTATATCAATTCATGAAAAAGATAGATTTCAAAAAGATAGATAAATTACAATTTAATAATAAACAAACTTGTAATAGTGAGACACTTATCTCACTAATAAAAAAATACCAACATATATTTCATTTAGAATGTGAGCCTTTAACTCACAACAATTTCTATTCAGAACACATATCGACCACAGACATTGTGCCCATTTACATTAAGAATTACAGACTACCTCATACCCACAACTACGATATCAAGTTACAAGTTAACAATCTTTTAAATGATGATATCATTCAACCGTCAAAAAGTCCTTATAATTCTCCAATACTACTGGTACCCAAGAAATTAATTGACGACAACGTCTAGTGATTGATGTAGTATGCATACATTTACATAAATAAAGCAACTTCAATAAATATACTTTGTTGCTAAATAGTCTAAAAAGACTATATAATTTACTTTGTAACGCACAGCTACATGAATTATGCCTGGCCAGCACATTCCTGTTGCTTAAGCACACATGAAGCAGCAATGCTTTCATGCTATTTAAAACCACGCTATGTGCGATAAGATTTTATGTATGCATGCTTTACCATTCCCTTAGATACATAATAAGTGCTAGCGTAAGCTATTATTGTATGTTAAGTTTAGCTCTAAGCTTATGAAGCGGAGCATAAGTAGACATTCAATCTTTGCAAAGCATACTGAGTGGATGCTTCAATAAATAATAATTAATATAAGAAAGTAATTGTTTTATGTTTGTGAAGTAAATAAAAACATTGAAGAATTGAACCTAAAAGTTTTAGTAGTTTTATATATTTTTGAATAAATAATAATTTCACACTACATGGCGACCGTGACAAATAAAAATAAAAATAAAAACAATTAAAGAAAAACAATTTATTTAAAAAAAAAATTTTATAAACAGTTTCTTTAAATATATATTTCAACAAACTAAAAATAAAAATGTCAAATAAAGGACAAAAGAAAAAACAATAAAATATTAAGTGCAACAATAATCAAAATAATAAATGGCTAATCAAGGGCCTAAAAAGTTAACAATAACAGAATACTTAAAAAGACAGCAGACAAGAAAAGAACAATCATTAACATACATACCACCAGCGGAAATCAAAAAACCAAAAAGAAGAGGCGGACAACAGGCAACGTTAAGGAGGCAGTTAGCCCACCTAAGAAGTCTTTTGAAAAGAAATCCTCCACCATCGTGGGAAGCAGCTGTAAAAATCCAAGCAGAATACGATCGCCTAAAGGAAAGACGCAACCAGAAGAAGTCAACAGCAGCAGTTAGTAATAAAAATTGTAATTGTAATAAAGAGTGCACTCCTTCGAAGTGAACCTTTAATTAGAATACCAATGGCGGTAAACGCTGGTATAAAACCTATAGGTAGGGATTGATGTAAATAAGTTATAAATAAATAAGTTATTAAATGAATATGTAAAATAAGAAGAAAAAAAAAAACTACAAATTACGTTACATAAAATTTTATATTAATGTAGGAAAGTAGGTATGACAGCGGCGCAAAAGTAATTAAAAGTAGTAGAGTTACGTCGCTGTCATAAGAAAAGAGCGCAGGGCAACTCCGTTGCTTTGAGGTGTGAGTGGAAGTAAAAAGAAGTAGTGAGAGTGAGCAGCTCGTAGAGGAAAGAAGCATATTCGTGCGTGCGTGTTAAAATTAGTTTGGAATTAACTATTAAAATTAGTTTAAAATTAACTATTAAAATTAGTTTAAAATTAACTATTAAAATTAGTTTAAAATTAACTATTAAAATTAGTTTAAAATTAACTATTAAAATAAACTTAAGGTCTAGAACCTACAAACTTTGGGGGCTCAACCTAAGAGTCAAATAAAAAAAAAATGGTGTTTATGTAATGCATATGTGTAAATTTAATATATGAACGAGTTTATAAAAAAATGCAAAAGGTGTGATTTAAGAAACATCGAAATTTTTAAACTTTGAATGATTGAAAATTGTTATTTACACTGAAGTTATTAAAAACAAATATGTGACATAAATTAATAAATAAAAAATTTGAATAAAGTTAAACTAAAAGCGACAAACATAACAATGAAAAACTAACTAAAATAACTGTGGAGTTAAACAAAATTATGTTTGATCCGTTCTAAGCGAGCTGCATATTGTGAAATACACAAATTAAAAGGAAAAGAAAAAAAAGAAGAATTGCTGTTATTAGTTGGCGTCGGCGTGGTGATCGAAGTTGTTAGCAAGCTGTGTGTGAGTACATGTGCTTTGTTAAACGTAGTAGTAAACGCAGTGCATACAGAGGTGAATGTAGTCACTGAGGTGGTAAAACAAACAACGCAAAAGCTGTTCTGATGAAGTTGGCGAGCGACGAAGGTGATGCGTAGCGGGTGCTGGCGGTGCAGTGGAGACTGGCAGAAATTTTTATATTTTGTTTAAGTACACATTTTGTTTTATTTGATTGCGTATTGAAATTGATACGTTTTAATTTTTTTAGCTTGTAATTTATATATTATTTTTTTAAACTTATTTACTTTTTAGTCATAATTTTAATTTTTTTTGAAAAGATTGTAATAACGCTGGCACCATGAATATTAACAGTATCATTGCGCTGAGTATAGAAGGGTTAAGAGGGGAGCTTAGAAGATTAAATTTAAATACAGAAGGCAAAAAGCAAGAATTGAGAGAAATATTAATTGATCATTATCAATTAGAAACGCGCGAAAATGTAGAAGACAAAGAAATACAGTTTGACAAAATGGCAACTGTTAAAACGATACAAGAACGTTCACTGTTTACGCTTCGTGATGTGGAAGACTCTCTCACTACATTTGCAGGGGTGGGTCAACCAAGTGTTAAGATTTGGGTAGAACAATTAGAAGAAATGGCTATTAGCGTAAACTGGAACGATCAACAAAAATTTATTTATGCTAAGCAGCTACTCAAGGGCGCAGCCAAATTGTTTGTCAGAAGCCAGTTAGAGGTAAAGGATTGGGTGTCGCTCAAAAACGCATTAATTGCAGAATTCACAGTAAATTTAACAATGAACGAGGTTCATGCCATGTTAAAGGGACGAAAGAAAAAACCAACTGAATCATTAAGAGAATATTTGTATAGTATTATTGAAATAGCAAATCAAATTCAGTTAGATGAAATGAGCATAATAGACTATTTTATAGAAGGAATTCCAGACAGTAGAGCAAACAAAACCATATTATACCAGGCAACGAGCATGAATGATTTAAAGAGTAAGCTAAGTATTTACGAAAAGATCAGGAGAAACACATACTCGTCATTAAACACTACAGGAGGGAAACTTCAAACAGAACATACTGGGGTACAAGACATAAAAATAGAAAGAGAGGATAGAAAAGATGGAAAGCGTTGTTATAGGTGTGGAGGTAAGGATCATATTGCTAATAGTTGCAAAATCAAAGATTATAAATGCTTTAGATGTCAAGAGGTAGGGCACAAAGCATTCGAATGTAAACGTCCAGAAAAGGTAGTAAGAAATAGAAACAAAAACAATTCTCTAGTTATAGAAACTATTAATGATGTGCGTCGAAATGGAACTAATAGAGTTTTGAAAGATTTAGGAATAAATGGGAAGAAGGTACGTGCTCTAATCGATACGGGTAGCGATGTCTGCATCATCAGACACTCCACTTGTTTGCGGTTAGGAAACATTGTGTTGGAAGCTAGGAGAAAAACATTGACGGGTATAGGAGGAAAAGAGATTAAAACATTAGGTAGCTTCATAACATTAGTCGATTTAGATGGTATCCAGACCAGTTTGAATCTTCATGTGTTAAACGATGATGATGTCCAATATGATGCCATAATAGGAAGCGATATCCTAGAAATAGTTGACATTTTGATCTCCTCAGATGATGTAAAGTTTTTGCGAAAGTCTCAGGAAAAACATATCGACTTTAATAAGGAAAATGTAAGAGAATGTGAAAATGAAGTTAGGAATCTCTATAACATTTGTGTGACAATGGA